GGAAGTCGAGAATGCTCGAAAACCCCGACGATCCCCGTTCCGGAAAACCCACAGGCCGGCTTTCCAAAACGGTGATTGGATGGGCGCGCACAAATGGGCGGGCATGGATGGGGGAGGGCGGGCATGGATGAGGGTTGTGCACCTTCGCTATTCCGAAGACATTTTCTCGCTTCAGAAGCGACATTTTGCGCAACGACTTGGGCATTGGATTGATAGAGGGCCCTACTATTACCCCTACCATATGCTGCCAAAAGCTCAACACCCTCAACTTAGGGTGGACGGTGCCTTCCAACCTCGTAATCCTCAAAAGTAATTTGAGCATGATTGATATTCTCTAGTCTGAAATAATAGAACAAGTGAGATTTTGGCTTGCTCTTAATTCCATAGTTTGCATGCTATTTGAAGTAAGATTTTCATTGTGTGCATAAAATAGTAGCTCTTTGCATTAAGTGCAAAAAGAAGTAATCAACTCACGCAACAAAGCTAATATGTTCGAGAATGACCATCACTCTTGGTTGGTCCAGGATTTGGAAACCTCAAAATTCGCTAAAATTTGGCCTACAGGTGTTATTTATCATGAAATCACGGAAATGATGCTGGTATGCTTTTAAGCTCTTTTATCATGCTTAACACTTTGACGACCACGCAGATTTTTAGTTGTCTGCCTTCTGGGACTAAGGCCTTTTCCAGACCAACCTAAATGTTTCGGCTATAATTACACATACTGCCGTTTCCAGTACTTACAGTATTCCCAAAAGGCTGACAAAAATGGTAGAGGTCATTCCTAAATTCAGCGCGAAAGAAAGCTCATGGTTGAGTTTTTTTACAGAATAGTAGTTATTTTAACAAAATTAAGCCTTGACACACATGGTGTGTCAAGCGGTCCCATACGGTAGTCACTGCTTGACACACCATGTGTGCCAAGCGGTCGTCAATGTGTTAATGTACCTACACGATGGTAGTCCAAAACTATGAAGTGTTAGATAATGAAAATATATGATATTTTCAACGCATATCATGCTACCGCTCTCATCAGTATCTCCTTAAAAACACCCTTTCCCCCTCTCCTAACCCTCACAATACGACCCCCAGTTGTAACGTACCACAATCCAAGCTTGATCCTGCCCATAGCGTGCACCTTGCTTCCAGTTCCTGCCAAGCAAGATTTAAACGCAACGCTTCAGCTCAAAATTGGGAAACTTTCAGCAAAATCAACAATGGTGGTTTGAGTCGTAGGCAGCAACCTAGCTTCTTACTCCACACCTACTCGGACTACTTAAAAAGCGATCGTTCTTTCTCCGAGGAAGAAAAGGCTTAGAAACCAAGGCTGTCATTGCAAGAAGAATGAACCTTGTATAGCAAAGTTTGGCACAAAGGTCAGATAACTGCTTCGTATTCTTGACGGCATTCTTCCCAGGCCCTTAATAAAAACGACCTGTAAACGGCTAAATTTTATATAATATTAGGTTGTCGGGTAAATTCTGTTACACTTTTTTCTAAATTTTCTAGGAAATTTCAGAAGCTTTCTGAAATCCCCAAATTTGCAACACGCTTAGGACATAGCAGGGTACACCCACCAGCATGGTGTGCAGACATATCTGCGTTATCCCCCCATATTAGCTAAACGCTAAAGACTATGCCCTATAATTACTACATTGTCCTGTCTATCGCTCATCACCTGAGAGAACGCCAGCTCGTTTACAAGATTGGGAAGAAACGGATTTTCAGCCACAAAGTGGGTATTCTGCGCACAGATCGCAGATGCGACGGTACTCTTGAATAGGTTTTTGACCCTGCCCATAAGCCGTGAACATGAGATCTTACCAAAGCTTCTGAGATTTTTAAGAATTAAATTAAAAACAGAAATTGTAACAGAAATTGTGTAACAGAGAGTGTCCGATAACCTAATAGCTTTCTATGTTCATCTTTCATATACTGGCAAAATTTCAAATTCCAGGCTTTATGAGGCGAGTTATAAGCAAAATGCAATTCTGGGGAAAAAGTGGGCACTAGTGGCATGTGCCGTTAAGCATCCACTCGATTGCTACATGGAGGGCTCCACAAACTGAATATCGAATTCGCAACAGAACCGAAGAAGCCTGCAGATCACGAGCGATAGAGCGATAAGAACCGCATAGCATTTTCTTCGGCAGTTTTTTTTTTGTAATGCTGAAAAAGGATTCACATTTGTGATTTCATCAGCGATGAATGCTGAATTGCTGATAAGAGTGAATAAAAACTGCTCACTTTCTTGTATAGCTCCTTATGACGTATACAGGGTGTCCCAAAAAAATGTATCGAACGTTTGATCGTTAATATCTCTCTTCCCAAGAAGTCTTTTGCCTTGCTTCAAGTACCGTTTTGTAGAGCTGGCTTCTACTTAAATTTGCGTTATAGAACGAATCACCTATCTCGCTTCATTACTGTAGGATTACTGTAGAAACTTGAAACATGTGGTGTCAATGTGGAAAAAGCTGCAGTTTCAAAATTTTACAAAAAAATGTGAAAACTTGTATAATAGGGTTTTTATGGACGCTAAGTTCAATAATTAACTATTCACAAGATTGCGAAGCCTTCTAAACGGTGTAACCGCACTTTTCAGGAACATTGAAAAATTGGCCGCTACCTCTTACCTGGCATAACTCTTCAATGAAGCATCATAATAACTTGGGAACTTTACAGTTAGAATCAGCAGCTCTAGTTAGCCTAGTGCAAAAGTTTTGAGGCTATTTTATTTCCTTTCTGAGGCAAAATATGGCCTTTCATTGCTTAAAACCCTCTTTGAAGTTTCTACCGTAATCCTACAGTAATGAAGAAAGATGAGTGATTCGCTCTATAATGCAAATCTAAGTTGAAGCCAGCTCTACAGAATGGTACCTGAAGCAAGAAAAAATACTTCTTCAGAAGAGAAATATTAACGATCAAACGTTCGATACATTTTTTGGGACACCCTGTATATGCACCTACATGTACAGATCAGTGGCGTACCGAGGGGGGGGGGCCCCCCCCCCCGAGAACGGGTCGCGAAATTTTTGAAAGTTACTTACATGGGTTATAAAAATGTGCAAGTGATTTGTTTTTACTTGTAAATAATTAAAATAATTTTTAAAATTTTTTAAAAAGTCATTTTAGCCTTGTAAAAAAATTTTTTTCGGGGGCGTGGCTGACGCCACGCCCCCTTTTTCCAGATTTTAGGGGTCGAGGACCCGGAAAAATTTTGAGAAGCATCCCAAAAAATTTTTCGGGGTGCGTGGCTAACGCCACGCACCTTCTTTAGAAAAAAATTTTTGTCGCCCCCCCCCCCGAGCCGAAATCCTGGGTACGCCACTGGTACAGATATATACAAATCAATGGCGGTCCGAGAATTGGTCGCAATTTTTTTTTGAAAGCTACTTACATGGGTTATAAAAATGTGCAAGTGACTCGTTTACACTTGTAAATGATTGAAATTATTTTTAAAATTCTTTAAAAATTCAAATTAGCCCTGCCGCCCCGCCCCCTTTTTCTGGATTTTAGGTGTTATGGGCCCGCAAAGATTTTGAAAAGTAATCTAGAAATTTTTTCCAAGTGCATGGCGTTAGCCACGCACCTTCACTTACAAGGGAGGTCGGATCAGTCGAAGTGGCCTTTTCAAATGGGTCATATACTATTTTGAAGAGCGTTAAACGCTGATTCCGAATCTTTCTTCGTTATCTGCCGAGCGCCTCTGGACGCCGAGTTATAAATGTTTTTTGGAGCGAAAAATGAACGCAGAATTCAAGTAAAATTGACTATTACGGACTTTTCAGCGCCTAAATAGAGCAACATGTTGTATGAGTGTTTTGGGCAAAAGGTATCCTTTGAAATGGGGTGCTCTGGTAACCAACATTGGACCTTTTGAGCAATTCTGACGAATTTTGCCTTAATTACGCATTCAATTTTTTAACCCAAAGAACGCTCATAACTCGGCGTCCAGAGGCGCTCGGCAAATAGCGAAGACAGATTCGGAATTAGCGTCCTAAGCTCTATAAGACAGTATACATTTCAAGATGAAATGCCACTTCGACCATGTATCCTTCCCTTGTTAGAAAAATCGTTGCCCCCCCCCCCCCCCCGGGCCGAAATCCTGGGACCGCCACTGATACAAATGTATGCATGTGCACTATTTTTAGAACTTCGCACTAACAAACATGCTATAATACTATGTTATAATGCTAAAAGTGATTTGAAACGATAAACCTGATTGTTTTAGGTCACAAGTGTGCAGCATATGTGTATAGCATGTGTGCGTCACTTTTTCGTTCTTATGACAAAAGTTTTAACTATTCTACTTTCTGTGGTATTCCAGGGTAAAAATGGTTCAGTGGTTTAATCCATTTTCTTCATGTTCAGCTATAAGTGTCTTCCTTCCAGCAAATTCCATGACAACTTTGTGGACACCATTCTATGTCAGTGGTGTTGTCCAAGGTCAGAAAAATGTATTATTAACAAATCCGCTAAAATGCAAGTTCACAAAACACCATCATAGAAGATAACAAAGTGTTATTATATGACTGACACTGTCACATTGGATTACGACTTTGTGATTTGTTCATAAGGAAAACCCAGAGCAGGCGAAACAATCCAAGTGGAACAGCGCGCCCGGACCGCCACCTCTCAGCGAGGTAGCTCAGAATGAGAGGACGCAGACTGCAAGGCGGCGCGAATCGTTGCGAAGCGGGCTCCCGCCAGTCCACTTTCCCCCTAAACAGAGTTGAAACTTACTATAACATTAATTTTATCTGTGTAGATTGTAAATGTAGCGAAATGATGAAATCAATTTTTCTCTTCGAAAATCGCCGCAGAGGCAATGCTTCAGTGCAGTGATTTTGTCTCAAAAATCGGAACACTCAAATGCAGGTTTCATCTTATGTGAAAGTGGAACATGTTCAAAAACGAAAGTAAGTGATATGGAGAATTATGTTTGCAGACAGGAAAAAAGATTATGCGCAAAGCAACAACACTGGTTGAAAATGTAGCTAATGGACGTAGCCCATAAAGTAAGCTTGATTATGCCTTATGATTATGCATTACGATTACACCATGCACCGAGTCAACATCCATCATTCATATTCTTTTCTTCCACTTCTGTAAACAGGTTTAGCTTTAACATGAAAATTCCTACTTGCATATTTTCTCTGTTTTTCCGATAAGCACTGATTAGCATGGAAAGTTACGTAAGAATGTTGACAGAAACAGCAAAACTGTAAACTGTAAAACAGCAAACTCTTTTTCAGAGGACTGTTTTGAAAAAGCAAGAAAATACCATAGGTTTTGGCTGCTTTTGCTGTCTGCTGTGGAAATACGAATCAAAAATAAACTTCAAGCTAATCAAAAGTATGACAATTCATTAGTCGATTTGCTGGCCGCACGGTTTGGTCGTTACTGCGGAGTAAAACGCTTGCCCCGGCACAAATTTACCATCGTACAAGTTATTCTTGCATTATTTCAGCAGCTCCGCACGTGGTCCCCAACGTTTGAGCAGTGCGTGCGGTTAACGATTCGACGGTATGTGATGAGACGCTTGACAAAGAGGGTTCTGGACTAGTAGGAAAAAATCCCCAAGTCACAGCGTAGAACTGAAATAAAGTGTATGACGTCTGATGAGCTGTTTCCAATCTGCCTTCCTTTTCTGCTGAGCAAGTTTTAGTTAAAGCTGTGAGCGATTAAATGTGCGAAGTATTGAAGTTTTTATCATAATGTTACCCAAAACTTTTTCTAACAAGAGAAGGATATCAGATCACAGTGCGAACCAATACGATATGCACATCATTAGATGCGCCTTGATCAGCTGAGTCCAAATCTGACTTCCTTATCTGCTAAGCTGGTCTCCAAATGGAGTTATGAGTGGTTGAATGTACAAATTTAGCAAACATTCAGTGCCACATCTTCAAGAGCTACATGTTCAAAAACACTTATTAATGTGTTTGGTGTATGTATGCATTTCTTTAGCCAATGCATTCAAAACCACGCCAATTAATCACTCCAGAGCTGGTCTTCAAAGCACATTACGCCTCGAAAGCCCATTAACTTTACACTTCCAACCGTCCATAGCTTCTTCTAGAGAAGCGCTTAGCAGATAAGAAAAGTAGATTTGGAATTAGCTCATCAAAACGCATCTAATGCTATGCATATCATTTCGGTGCGCCACTGCGAGCTGGTATCCTCCCTTGTAAGAATCAATCAGCAGATATGGAAATTAAATTTGGAAGCATTCTAATAAGATGCATCTAACCATACTGATTTCGTTGAAGATCGTCATTACGACTTGGGATTTCTTTTACAGTACTCCTAAAATGGAGACACCCCTTTTCAATGTTTCTGAATTTCTTGGAGGAAGCTCCTGAAAATCCATTCCTCCTACTTGCACGAGGATAGACGAAAACGTATGCGGAAAAATATTAGGTTGTTCCGAAAGTTCTGTACGAATCCTGGTTGCTTTGTTTCAATGTAGCTAGTTTTTTGGAGTGTTGCACTTGTTGCAAAAACATGCATATCATCTGAAAGCACTTATCATGCTCTTTCTAGTGCTTTCTAACGCTTGACAAAAAATCCTCTCAGTGATGAAATACCAAGCCCCGAATTCAAACTAACAAAATGCAGTCATGCTCAAGAAAAAGTTTCTTTTAATTCCCGCAGTACTCGTAAAATTGAATATGTAAAATCTTATAATGAGACAGATTGTAATGGGCTAACATATGCACACTTTATTTCCACCAAAGCGAATATCTTACTTCTTCAATTCTTTCTCAGAAGTGGAAGACAAACTCAGTTATCCAAGAGGTAACAACAATTTATGTACAGCGAACTATGGAACTCATAATGCATAAAGCGAGAGCAAGTATTGACCATCGGCCACTTAGCTTTCTTCGTTCGCGACAGCAAGAAAAATCAAATATAGAAAGTTAATTTAGTTGCGCGCGCGGTGGAGGGCTCGTATGGATTTTTTTGATTTGCTCTTAAAAATTTCCGTGCGCAAAGATAGGTCGAATTCTCTTTAGTCATTAAAGATTCTCCGAAGTATGGGCTACTTGATGGTGGCAACCACATATGATCGCGTATCCTTATACGGAAGCATCTGTACGTCAAAGTGGATCGTTTTGAAGGAAACTCTACAAAATTCCCTAGATTTTCTCTTTTCTCTCGCTTGCTTTTTTTACATGGCATACTGTGTTTTGTTGAATGTAACTTCGTTTGATACAACAAAATTTGCTTTGTACAAAAATGCTGATTCTGAAGACAGTTATAACATCTTCAATTAGAAAATCTGCAGAATGGACAGAACTTTCGGAACAACCTTTGAATCGGTTCCAATTGGGAGTAAATTTGCGTCGAACACGAATTTTGAGTGGTTCATGATTGTATGAGCACTTCAAGCAAAGCTTCATTTTCACACAACGCGGCAATCATCAACTTCAAATCTTCTTTGCGAAGTACAATAACGAAACTGCTATGCATAGGATCTGTGTGGTTCAAATGAAGAGCGGTACTCTTTTCAGATAGTTCTCTGCAAATGCTTTTGAAATCAGTGCTCTGAAAAAGTTGTTCTATAATGTAGAGACTCTAAAATCAGCTCATAACATGATTTTATAACACGGCAAGCTTCCTTTGAAAATGTGCCCCCTACCTTAACACCAAGCAAGTTGATATGCTTCGTCATTCTGTATAGTACAAAAAATAGACCATTAGTTTACGACTGACAATCGGAAGTTCTTTGGAGCTTCGACATTGTCATCTTTACTCAGGAAAAAAGCACACCACAAAAGGGTGAGAATCGGCTTTAAATTGAAGAAATTATGCTGATAACGAGCAGAGGCCCGCTCTGATTGCTAGTGTACAATCTCAACGTACTTACGTATATACTTACGATAGATGGTGCGTCTTTATGTGGGGTGCGGACCCTGCAGAAGATCCATTTGCCTTTGCTCCCGCTTCCAACATCCACTTTCTCCGCGTTAGTGGCTGCTTTCATGATCTTGTATTTAGCTAATTTCACAGCTGATTGATCATGTTGTTTGTATGGGGATGCCTAAACTGCGCACAAGCTCTCTGTTGAATTTTTGACATGGCTGCAGTGCTCAAGTCTTAGATGCGCAACTGAGCGCTGAGAGAAAGGTGTTAAGTTGAATAGGCGTGCTCAAAGCTTCCGGTCTGCTAGCAGGTCAACGCTTTATCTAGAAGGATGAAGGTGGTCCAAACTTTTCTTTTTGTATTGAGTCTTTCTTCCAAGTTGTTCCATGTTCATCAACATCCGTTCTGTAGCCCTCGAAACCGTGTGGATGAGGTCCATGCAGCTGAATCCTTTGCAAAGTCTATTTGTTCTTGAGCTGGGCTTCATCGAGTGTCCTAGATGCGAGCGAAGATAATCTTCGTGGAAAGCTTGTACAGCACATTCATCAGGCACAGAGGGCGGTTTCGAAAATCCTCCCATTCGCTTTATTCGAAAAGAAGACGGTTCTTGAAGTTCTCCACTGATAGGAAATCTTTTCTTTCTAAAATTAAAATGCTAAATGTGACGCTAAAGCCCGTGTAGATGTTGCCCTTCGGCGATCAGAAGGTGGATGAAAAGATTATCTAGTCCGGATTCGTGGACGTCTTCATCACCTGATTTTGGTGAGCATTACGGCAGTAAAGTCCGTGGTACTACTCGCCAGTGAGAACAACGAACATCACCAGAAGTTTAGTGTTTTGATATTTCTTATGCCGCACAGGTTGGTATGGTGGATCTTTATCGACCTAACGTTTCGAACAACTCGTTTTCTTTTCAGACCTCCGACGAAGACGAGTTGTTCGAAACGTTAGGTCGATAAAGATCCACCATACCAACCTATGCGGCATAAGAAAAATTCCAAAACATTAAACTTACAGTCGAAGATGCCCAGGTTTCAAGACGAGAACGCATGGAAAATCACCAGGAGTGTTGATGAACATAAATGCACCGTCCCATCAGACCGGGCCCTCCTGGCTCTGTTGGTAACGTAATAGGAGACCCCCAACTAAGCGACGACGAAAGTTTGCAGCGCGAAAGGGGAGTCTACGATGTCTACAAATCGCTTCCCAAGTGGTCCGGATCTTAGATAGGTAGGCTACTGTAGGCTACGGTAGGCTCGAGCAAGTACGAGATGCATGCAAGGTAACGCAAAGTGATTGCGGAACCCTGCGCTCATGACTGTGTGCGTTATGCGTGCTCTGGCCCTGCAGTTCGAAATCGCTGTGCGGGCGGCATTCGGGCTACCGTAAGATCCGAGCCACTCTTGGAGCATATTTCAAGCTTGGTAGAACCCGCTTTTCGCGACGAACTTCAGTCATCGCTCAGCTAGGTGGTCTACTTTAACATCGCCACAAAAACCCGCACCCGTCATCGGGACGCTGCCTTTAAGAGAATGGGGTACTAGCTTCTCACGATAGATTCCATCCTATGTCAAGGAGAAGTCGAAATCTCGTCTTCGTTTTCTGCCACCAGCGGTACGCGATATCCATAGAGAAGTCTTTGGCTCTAGAGATTCCGTCTTTCTTCTACTGATTTCATAACTTGCCTAACCTGTAATCCCGGAAATCCTCCTATGAAGCTGTTATGCTGGGCATTAGCTAATAGTTACTCGCGATAGCCAGCATTTGAATTTTGCCTTGAACTTCTTCTTGTTACAAGCAATTCCTGCTACCTGGTCGTAGTCCTCGACTGGTCAGTCACAGTCTGATATGAGCTGCTTTAGCATGTCACTATCGACGGATTCCTATCTTCCTGTGACAGTTGACGACCTTCTTTTCCATCTCCCAGAATCATCTTTTTCTTTCAAGGAGGCGGTAATTAGAGTCACTGCAAAAGGATGAAGTTACTGAAACGTTGAGATTTCGTATATAATTGGTAGGAACATGTATCGGCGCGCAATTCTTTTCGTTCGTTGTTCTTTCTTCATGAAAATGAATTTTTCATGAAAAAATTGGACCGACATAAGCTCAAAGATGTTTTTTTTGTTACAAGGCCCATCCAAACTTCCCGATCCACTATCCTCTAGAGGCACGCGTGCTTACTATGAACGTAGTAATTATACTTACATGGAAAGTCGAAGATGGCTCAAATCGGTTACTTGTAACATGATTTCATTAAGAACAGGAATAATCGGTTGAATGAATTTATGATAACTTTTACAGCATGCGCTCTACGTTGGGTTTGGTGTTGATTTGCAGTGTATATCTTCTTGGACATAGAGTTGGATCCGCTAAAGATAAACAGGTGGGCCTTGGTCGTGATGCTCCAAGTTTGATTCTCTATCATTCGACGGCGCTACTCAGGACGTAATCTAAGAAAATCACATTTTCATGTACCACTATCAAAAGTATGTATCCACTGTTTGTTGATAATTGTAGAGCTGGCTCCAACTTGGATTTATAGTATGGAGGAATCGATCTCCCTTTACTATAATACTACAGTAGAATTTACGGCATAGGCAATCACTGTGAATAAGCTGCAGTTGAACTCTCACGCAATCCTACAGCACAGCGCGACCATTGATTCGTTATGTACTGTAAATCTGAATTGAAGCCAGCACTACAGACTGATATCCATAGGTCCGCTAAAAACTACAAAGCTAAAGAGTATTCACTCCTGCAAATCATTCTGCCCCTGTTTTAATGCTACACGTCACTTCCCTGCCCTCGCTGTAATTTTTGAGAGACGGTCGAATGGCGCGCATTGATCGGTTGTCACCAATTAGAAAAACCAGGAAATTCGAATTCGGTTTAGTACTTCCGGATTTCAACTTATAGTCATCTGCTACTATTTCTCATACGTTTGGAAAGTTTGGACGTTTGGAAACTTTTTTGTACAGTACAAATTCCTTCTGGTAATGACGACTGCCGAAACGCGCGCCTTTCGACATACACCCGTAATTTCCATCCCGCTGACCCATTATTAAGTTGTCCGAAAATAAATGCAGGCTTTCGCAAATGCATTTTAAAAAAGAATTGTTCTTCTGCATATATGCCTCTTGCAAGCAATCTCGCAAACTGTAAAAAAGAGCTCTTCATGTTCTTTCCGATAGATATCTTGCTTTCCAACTCCATTTCTTCGAATTTTACAACCAGAAGATGAAGCTTAAGTTCACAAAATTCACTCTTTGCACTGTTTTGGCTTGAACTTATTCGGCAGGGGAGTACTTTCATGGTAATAAATCTAAAGCAAAATATTGAGTGAACCTACAAGATGAACATTAGCACTTCCTTTCATCAAATGTGAGAGTAGAGAAATTGACGCTCTAGTATGACCAATTGTCGGGGCCACTCCACGGGATAGAAAACTTTTCTGAATAAAGCAACCGTAGAAGTCTCTCCCCGTATTTGAAGAGTGGAGACAGTGCCGTCTGGTACTATTTTAAATGGCACCTGAGAAGCATTATTTCTGGTCAGTAAACAAAAAATTCGAAATTTTCAGATATCGCAGCCGTAGAGGAACTCGGAAAAATGGAAAATTTCAATTGCAATCTTTTTCGCAGGAAAGTTCTAAAAAAATTTCTAGCAACATATGTAATACTAGCTTGTGGCTATAAGCTGCAAAGTTTTTTGCTGAGCGTTCATATCCTATAGTTCCTATATACAATTTGCGAAAGATGATCTTGTTAAGAAAACTCTCCTTACTTTCTGGTTTCCAGTAATTCGCTTGTTGGAGTTACAGATATATGGAAACGGATTAGAATCTAATTTTTGATAATTACCACTTCCAAGATATGTTTTTTTTTCAGACCAGTCACAAAGAATAAACTAGCTTTCCCTCATTTTCCCCCATGCTGTGGATTGCCTGATCCTGCAACGAAAATCTGCCATTCGAAACGCCGTCAAATAAAAGATTTTAAACTGATTGCTGCTTTTTGTTAGGTTTACAAGGGCTTCTTCTGCTTTTGCTGACTGATTGTTTTGCATCTTCTTTTCTTCTTTGATTTTTTATTAGGTGGTCCGGAAATTAATGCCCGTTTTGAATTTCAACCGCAATAAGTCATGCACTTCTCACTTCTAAATAGGTTGCAAAGTACCATTCGGTAGAGCAAAGCAAGCTCTACAAGGTGGCTATCTTGCTTTAGCAACATCTTTGATTCATCTCGAGTTTCGAGCCAAAAACTAAAAAGACTAAACTGCCCGAAAATCAAAAAAAATCATAACTCAGTCTATAAAAATCCTACATAAATTCTTACTTGCTCACGTAAACACTATCTACATAAAACATCTATATACGCCTTTGCCATATTTTTTTCTCTGTTAGAAATCAAGAAATCGGAAATTTTCATGCATTTGCCAAAGTGGTGTTGTGCGGTTCCCACATAGATAGATGTATACTACAAACCTGTAGAAGTACAAACTAAATTCTCAGCTCTCTACAAGCTTTAGTTCTCGAGAAATTTGAGTTTTAGCTTGGGCCAGCTAACTAGGGAAAGCTATGTTCGTTATTTCTCGAGAACCAAAGCTTTAGAGAGCTGAAAATTTAAGTCCGTACTTCTACAGGCTTGTGGTATACAACTACCTATGTGGGAACTGCACAACATCACTTTGGCAAATGCACGAAAATTTCCGTTTTCTTGATTCCTAACAGAAGAAAAAATACGGCAAAGGCGTAAGTAGATGTTTTATGTTGTGTTACGTGAGCAAGTAAGAATTTTCGTAAGATTTTTATGAACTGAGTTACGATTTTTTTCGATTTTTTGGGCTGCTGAGTCTTTTTAGTTTTTGGCTAAAAACTCGAGGTAGATGAGAGCTGTTGCAAAAGCAAGATGGCCTTCTTGCTTTGTTTTATCGAATGGTACTTTGCAACCTATTTAGAATTGAAAAGTGCATGACTTATTGCGGTTGAAATTCAAAACGGGCATCAATTTCCGGACAACCTAATACAGTGCTGGACATAATTATAAAGCCACTCTAAAAATCGTCGTAATTCTCGTCCTTGTCAATGAATCTGTCTAAAACTTTGCTGTTGGGCGCATGTCACTCTACCATGACCCCTCAAAACGGCTTCCCGTCTTGTTGAGTTTGAACAGAGAAAAACGAAAAAATTCAAACAAGCCCTCTTTGAAAGCTGGACAAAATCATAAAGCCACTGGTTTTTCTAATCACTATCGCATTCGTTGACTCTCAAATTTTTTTGTGCAATTACATCCCAAAATATGAAACATTTGCGATACCTACGGCCTACCATCCTCTCAAATAGAAGCGATCGCTGCATTTTTTGTTTTGAAAAGCATCAAAATTCAATCTGCTTCATTTCAAATGATAATCATGGAATCTACTGACCCTTCTGGATGTATGAGGTAAAGAGCGCTTTCGTAAACTCTGCTTAATCGCTATTTTGACGGACAGACTCCAAACTCACCTAGGGTTGACGCACTTTTGCACCACAAAACTCGATTTTCAAGCGACAGAAAATACTGTAATGTAGCCATTACGACAGCCATACAACAATGAACTCGTGTGCATGACTGGGAAAATATTTCGAGATTGAGCACTCTGGTTCAGCTGCAGTTGGCATCCACTGAATGTTGAGTGGAGCACCCTGCACAATCAAAGCCAACTTAGATCACGAGATAAAACCGGAGACGTTTGAAACCTCAAAACCTTACTACTCTCAATCACCGGGTTGAATATGACATGAAACACAGACGGAAATAAGGAGATCTAGGGTTATATCGAATCTTCCGCTCGCAGGGAATTTTTGTGGAAAGTATTCCAGGTCTAAATCGCTACCGCATCATTAGGAAAAATCTGAAAGTTGTTGCAAAAGCTGTATCCCCATGTAGACAATGTGATAAATCAAGTTCAGCACTTTGTGGACATTGCAAACTGAGTTTTGTGGTTCAAAAGCGCTCCAAGCCTATGTTGAGGTTGGAGTCTGTCCGTCAAAATCAGCGATTACGCAGAGTTTACGAAAGTGCTCTTCACCTCATCTATCCAGAAGGGTCAGTAGATTCCATGATTATCATTTGAAATGGACAGGAGCTTGAAAACTCTTCAAACCAGATGTTTGTTGAAGTAGATTGACATTTGGTGCTTTTGAAAGCAAAAAATGCAGTGATCGCTTCTATTTAAGTAGGATGACAGGCCGTAGGTGTTGCAAATGTTTCATATTTTAGGATGTAATTGTACAAAAAATTTGAGCGTCAACGAATGCGATAGTGATTAGAAAAACCAGGTGGCTTTATAATTATGTCCAGCTTTCAAAGAGGGCTTTTTCGAACTTTTTCGTTTTTCTCCGTTCAAACCCAACAAGACTGGAAGCCGTCTTGATGAGTCATGTTAGGGTGACATGCGCACAATACAGCAAAGTTTCAGACAGATTCATTGGCAAGGACGAGAATCGACTATTTATAGAGTGGCTTCAAAATTATGTTTAGCACTGTATAAGCAACTTTCACTTTTTAGGGGGCAGATACTCTAACAACTTTCACTTCCGACGCCCTATCTCTAGACTATCGAAGGTGTGCATTAGACAGAGGCTTGGTGATCACGGTGGTTCTTACCCCATTGCAAAATATGCAATTTTTAAGGAGTCATGACACTTTAGAGCGAGGATTTGCGGAACCTGCTTTAATTTCCGGACATCCTAATACCTTAATCCTGTAATAGCTTTCAGCATAGCACAAGCTTGCGAAAACTGATGAGAAAGGTAATAGTAATTTGGAAGATAAGTATTGAATTTGTAATTATCCTCCTCAATCCCTCCTCTTCTCGTCTCCCTTTCCACTCCCAATTAGGGCGAGCAAGAAGTGTGGCACACGACAGCCGGACACGAATTTCCCCTCTCTCCCTCTGAGTTCTGCCTTAACAGATCCCCAGCGTTGTCGTTTACTTACCGAAGGCATATGATATAAGAGCTGCCAAGTATAACGAATATCATTTTCATGATTAGCAAATAAGTCCCTTGAGAATCAAGAATTGTGCTTCCAGCAGCCATCACACATAGTAAAAAAAACGAGGCTTAATTCGATTTTATGAAAACTACGAGATTCAGCTATGGCGCTAGTAATCATTCACCAGAATGTTGGTGACAAAATCTGTGAACATTTGACAATTACATTCTAATTCTTGATTCTAACTTCACATTTGTTTCATTATACAATGTGTCAATTGTGGTGCCTTTTTTGGGGTTGTGCACCCCCACCAACTTACCTTCAAACCGCCATATTATGTTCTCCATACCGTTAGCGCTAAACCTTCGCTTCTTCATGGAAATTTTTAGTAGAATTTCTCATTTTT